TTGCGCATCTTTTTTGTTCTCACACTTTTGCTCCATCTTGCTTTCTCTGGGCGTGGCGTTTGTAGAATTAGTATTAATTAATGCTAATGCTAATGCTAACTTACCACCCCTAGTTCTAACTAATTAGCAGTTGGTTTGCTAACTGAATAAATTCAATAGAAATGGGTGAACCCATTTGTGAAGTCCCTATTAAGTCTTTTATAGTTAATTATCTACTTGTATTTCTTTATTGTAGTGACTATCGTAACCTTCTTATGAGTCACTATCTGTACCGTTTATTATGATTAGAGAATAATATGTTTACACACTTTCATAATTATTCCTCTTAGTATAACTTCCCTCCTCTCGTCCCGCTTCTCCTTTGAATTTGTATAAAAGCATGTGTTATATGCCCGAATAGTTAGTTTTATATTATCAAGCTAAATCTAAAATAAACAATAGCATGGTAGCAATTCGTTACACAATTAATATTTATATCTTGACCACAAGCAATTCTGTTTCATATCGCGTTTCTATCAATAGATATTTAGGATCTGCAATGAAATACGAGATGATCTTGTTTGAGTTCTCAATAACGAAATCATTGAGACCGCAATGAATATATGTATTTATCGCGTTTATAACTAGATCAGAAGTTTCGTTTTGAGTTCTTGTTGAATATCCTAATAGAAAATATGCAGGACTATCTTTCTTAAACCGTTTTAATTAAAATGGTTTTTTGCTCGTACGAAACGAATTATGAATAAAACCTATTTAGCAAGTTTTTTCAACTATATTTTCGGATTTTGCTATTTTTCGAACCGGCTGATTTCTGTTCTGCATAGTTATCGTTCAAAATGATGAAGTCAAAGAAGAAATTGTAAACGATGATCAAGGTATACCACTGATAGCACGTTGTGCATATGATAGAAATTTTGATTTTGACACCATTCGACGTCCAGCATGGAATATTCTTGATCATCTATTGTTTGTCGGAGATAATGCTACTGAACAAATTTATGAAATCGATTATTTAATGGATGATATTCATATTCTATCATCTTCAAACGATACCGATTTGAGTTCAACAACTAAACGTATGCAATTTAAAATTGAACAAGAAGCAAGTTGTATTATTAAGCAAAATCGTGAAGAAGACGAGAAAAATCTTCATGATTCACCGATTAAAGTATTTAATGAAAAAAAAGCTATTTATCAGTATGTCCGTGGAGATTATCGATTTAATCTATCTGGTCTAGGATCACGTGAACCATTTGATTTAATGATTAGTTATTGTCCTTTTGACAAAGGACTTTGTTCTACAATTTATAGTAAATTGAAAGAATCTAAATCGTATCGTATATCATTCGATGAAGAAAATAATCATGAGTCAAACCCGATAGCAATGGCTGATATTGTTGGACGATCATCGATTATACTCTTTTGTTTTTCAAATAAATATCGACAGTCAAATGCAAGTCGATTGGAAGCTGAATTTGCTAAAAAACGAAAACGAAAAATTATTCCAATCCGAGTGGAACGTTACTATGAACCAACTGGATGGTTATTAAACATTATTGGCGATCGAGAGTGTGTCGATTTTACACAAGGCAATTTTATATATACGTACAATAGACTGATTGAACGTATTGATATCGTCATCGACGATGATTAAGAATTTATTTGATAATAATATGTGTATTACTTTGTTTTTTTCTTCTTTTTATAAATGTAGACTCAACTTAGTACGAATAATATACGTGTATATAACACTGAGTAATGAAATTCAAATTTTTCAATTTTCCAAGAAACCTTTCTTTTCTTACGACGATTGCTTCTTTATTATTATTAAACATATTTAAAATGAAACATTCGTTTGGATGCAACAATTGACTTTAATCGAATTGCGATTCAGTTTGTTCTAAGCTAAAACTCTGCGGTTAATAAATCAAAGAAAATTTTGTAAACGCTGATCGTGTAAATTATCTTGTAATACTCATTTTATTGGCTTTTTCTTTTCTAGATAGTGACTTCTCTGTGTTATATAATATTTTGATCTCGCTAAACTTTTATAGAATGATAACGCTGTATATTTGTACAACGATTGATTTCATTCCATAGAAATCAATTCATGATTTGCTGTTGTGAAACCTAAGGAGCTTTTGATTATGAAGCAATGATATGGATGCAGTTAAATTTATCTGAAGATTTATAAGTAGCTGCGAACTTCTTTATACGTTTTGGATGCATTTATCATCTGTAAGCTTCGTGCATTATTAATTTTGCTAGAAGGCATCTTTCAGTCATTAGTCAAGGTTCGAGCTTCCTAAAGTCTGTTTGTATTAGAACTTCAACTGCGTAGTTCTATGTAATATGAGTGAAGATTGCTGTTATAAATAGAAACAGATGCTCATCGATTCTTAACGATGCGAAAATTCAGTATAATTCATAACTTCGTTTATGATTTGTAAGAAAAAGACTTAAAGCTGAATATATGTATGTATTATTCAAATTGAAGATGAGAAATTTTCTAGAAGGTTTACAGAAGAAAATAATGACATTAAAGTTACAAGTGTTTCGTTGTCAAGCGCCACTGAACGACTATGCCGAGATGAAAGCATACCTGCGATCTATCGTTTATAAGATCATGGACAGAAAAATGGCCTGATTGTCGTTTACAGTGTAGAAACTAATAAAAGTTCTTCATATAGTTATAGCAAAACTGTGTAACTGGAAAAGAGGACTTGTGCTGGGTATTGATACGTATCGAAAATGATCTGGAGAGCAAATTTTTATGATGAAAACTTTTTTGAGTCACTCGACATTTTTACTCTTCTTCTAGATAATGGTAGTTTTATGACAATTTTGCAATTTTTTTTCTTTTCATTTAATAAATCTTAGATAAAGTCGAAGTCGATTCTATCTAAGAGTTGGGCATAAGCAAACTTTTTTCTCAACAAAAACGAAGTTTTACAATGTATTCAGTTATGTATAAAGGATAGCTGTTCACTTGGGAATCGCTATCATTGAATGGTTATGCTGTTCGACACATGTCTAGAAGGTACCATGTTCAGACTTTCGTACCGCTAGCCACGGAATGGCGTGGGACAAATCACTATCGATTACTTGTCTCGGATTATCTATCTGATAACATGTTGACTGCAGAGTTAGTCAATATGTAAGATAAAACTTCGTGCAAGCATTACGAAACCGTAACTCTTCTTCTAATTGGAGGCTCAAAAAAAAGGGAGAGTGTCAGACGTAAGTGATGCAAATATTGCCGTCTATAAAAAAAAGAACAAGACGAAAGAATTCGATCGCGTGCAAATCCAAAGAGTGATGGGTACCAACGAGCAACAGTGGTAAGGGAAATATTATTCATAATCATTTGAGTTTTCTGAAATATTCTTCAATTTTTTACTATCAAACTGACGTAGTAGAGTATTAATAACATGAATAGGTTCTATTCGATGAAGGTTTTGATCTTTAGACTGGCATGTATTTCTATCGAATGCAGAAACAATTGATTGTCACAAAAAAAAAATTAAGTTAAACATTGAGCATTCATAAATCTGATTATATTATAAATACATTTGGCTTTGCTGAAACTGATTTTTATATTGATGAGAGAAAAAGAAAAGAATTTTCACAGAAACTAACACTGTTCTTCTCCATATAAAAATTTACATTTTCAGATCATTATTTCATGATCTAAGATTGATCATGGCTGAAAATGTGATAACGACAAATGATTCATCAAAATCAACATCGAATCAAATTGTTGAAAACTTTATTTTCGTTTGGTTAAACTCCGGTTGCGATGAACCGCATGAGAAAAATCAACAGTTTATTTCTAAACTCGAAACTATTATTAATTCAATTGAAAAGTTTACCGACATCGATCAATGCATCGAACTTTTAGCGAAAATTAAAGATGAAAAAATATTTTTATTCATTTCCGATTCACTTGGTCGAAAACTTCTTCCATTAATTCAACAATATACTCAAATTTATTCAATTTACACCACCTTCAAGCAACAACTATGGATGCAACAGTATGACAATATAAAAAATGTTTCCTCTCTAGATGAACTTCTCGATAAAATACAAGAAGACATTCGTCAATTAAATAATGATTTAATATCTATGAGTATCATTCCACAATCATCTAATACTGATCTAAATCGACTTGAACCATCATTCATGTATTTTCAATTGCTGAAAGAAAATCTTTTTGTATTACAATACGATCAACATGCATTTGATGAATTAATAACATATTGTCGTACAATATATCATAATAAGAAAGAAGAATTAAATAATATCGATAAATTTCAAAAAAACTATGATAAAAATAAAGCAATTAAATGGTATACTGATGAATGCTTTGTATACCATGTGCTGAATAAAGCTTTACGCATATTTGATATTGAAACTATTATGAAGTTTAGCTTTGTTCTTCGGGATATTCACTGCCAAATTGAAGAACGTCATATTGA